ATGCAAACTTGCAACTTTTCGCTTGGATTAGAATTAATGCTACGACCAAACGGTTGAAATTTTAATTATTAAACTTAGATACTTATTATCCAGCAATGATTTATGAGTATCATCAATTTCAGTTTTAATGTCCAACCATTGCCACAGACCGATGCGACGGCCCTTTCTGATGTCTCATTCACTTTTGTGGCAAACATTCAGCAATCATTTTGTTCGGTTTCGGCTGCTATTTGCACTTCTGTTTACTATTGCACTGGTAATTTCATTTGGGTACACAGCTCGTAATTAAATATGTTAATTCTGTTGGTTTAATGGAAGCCTTCAGCACTTTGAAGGCAAAATGATGGGAAATATTGTAGGTTTCGGTTTGGCCTGTAAATTTACTCCATTGTAAGCCAAACGAGTGTGTTGTGTATATGTATATTCGCATCTTGAACTAACAATAGGGTAGACATGTGGTTTAGTGGGCGGGGATGGGGATGCAAACGGGTTAATGCCGAAATCATTGCCTTGGATCTCTGCCCGATCTGAACTGGTCTGGTCTAAGACTGAGAGTGGGTTACGAGGAAACCAAAAACGTTCTGATGTCTGAGCAAGCGCTTTGCTTCTGTTTCTTTTGGTTAGAATAGATATCGTTATCATTAGCGACAATCCTGTCAGCACTTGAACATTGATTGTTTCTTTTGTATACAAATTGAGTGGTCTATTACAATCAGGAAACCATCGAATCGCTAGCCAAATGTTAGTCCAAAATTCTCATTCATTTTCTTATCCGAGCTTCCATCTTTTAAATGGCAATCTTTCGACACACGTATGGCATTAGTTTCCACTTGTCTGCCAACTCGTTTCAGTCTCAATTGACAGATGTACCCACATCTGTCTGTCTGTTCAATACTCAAGAGCGCGATCTAAAGTTGATCTGTCGATCTGTCCATTTGTCGTTAGGTCGGCAGCTTCCAGCTTAACCATAATCATGAGGAATAATGCGATTATGAATATTCAACGGCAGCAAAACGAGTATGTAAATGCCAAATGCGATACAGAAATTCAATATATTTCGCTCTTCTGCTCTTTTTTCTGTGTGTGTTTGAATTCGTTTCTTCGTTTCGCATAAATTTCCAAACGCGTGTGCTGAAGAAGTGCATTGAACCCATGTGGCCATTCGTGGGCGGGCGACAGAATAAGTGAGACTGTTTATATTTAGTTAGTACCGACAACTAGAGAGCGGGCGAATACACAGGCCTACAAAGTCTGACCATAGCCAGCAAGTGGCTATGCAAATATATGCCAATCCGAGCCATAGAAATAGCATCACAGGCAGGCAGAGCTTGCCAACCGGTTCAATGTATTAATAAGCGGTGATGTGAACTAAGCCTCAACGCTGAGATATACAAACATAGATAATAGATGAGTATCTAAGTATATATGCCTAACTAGGCCGTAAAGCTGAGTGGACCCTAGTTCTGGGTAAATTATCTTCCTGATTTCCTGTTTTCTTGTGGGCTTTGGGCAGGCCTTGGGGCAGCTTCGATTGGTTCTCTCCTCCAATTTGGAGCCATTAATCAGTTTGACACTTGACGTTGCTTCTGCTTTTGACGCTTCTGCTTTGTCTCTGCTTCTCTTTGCTGGCCAACTGACAAAACATTGATATGTGTATGTTGATTGTTGTTTGCTGTTTGCCGTTTGCCGTTTGCTGCGTTGATTAAATGCCGATAATTTGTTTGACTTTCGGGCATAGGCACAGTGGTACCTGCGCTATCTAAAAGCGGAAGTCCAATTGCTTTGTGTAGGGAATAGATGAACAGCATTAAAGAAGTGCTCTACAGCCTTAAAGGTGTGTGTTTTCGAGTCTCTAACTGCGTTCAATGTGTATCATTGACTTGCTCGAGCAATGCCCGTCTGTTTCCAGGTGTTTTGCAGATCCGATCACTGATAAACAAGAGGCTGTAAGCCATTTCTCGACTCATTACTTCGATTTGCTGCTTATATGATTACTTTATTTCAATATAAATTCTGAGAGCGTAAGCTCAATTCTAAGCATGATGCTTATTGTCTTTGAAATTCATTCATTAAAATTCTTAACCACTGTGCAGTCTTGAGACACATCAAAAGATGAAGATCTTAAGTCGTAGACCAAGTCGCGCATGCGCAGAGATTAGCATAAGCAAACAAAAGAACTGCCGGCAACCAAGCATCAAGAAAGCATCAAAGCATCCGAGCAGCCGAGCAGCCGAGCATCCGTAGCCAGCACCAAACATGGCCACACGGACATAAGCACCTTCGGCAGCTGCTCGGCTTCGGTTCGGTTCGGTTCGGTTTCGGAATGGAAATGTGGGTTATTATGAAATCGTTAGCGTGCTGCTGCTGCTGCTGCTGTGCGGCCGGCGTCCATCAATGGCTTCTAATTGGGCAGGGTAAGGTGAGGCGCTCTCTCTCCGTCTCTTTCTGTTCAGCAGCATCTTCAATTCCGATTCCGATTGCGATTGCTTCGATTTTGGGGTATAAATGTGCGTGAGTCTGCCGATTTTGGAATTAGTCAACGCTTCCGCTTCTCTTCGTCAGCAGTCAGCAGTCAACAGTCAACACTACAGCTTCGAGATGAAACCCTTTGCCTGCATTCTTGTGATCCTCGCCAGCATCCTGGCCATCGGCCAGGCCACGATCGGCGGTCTACTCGGCGGTGGCGGCGGCGGTGGCGGCGGCGGCGCTGGCGGCGCTGGCGGCATTGCACAGCTCCTGCAGAGCAAACTGGGCGGTCTTGGCGGTGGACTTGGAGGAGGACAAGGCGGTGGATACTCTGGCGGCGGCGGTGGATACTCCGGCGGTGGTGGATACTCTGGTGGCGGTGGATACTCTGGCGGCGGTGGCTACTCCGGCGGCGGTGGCTACTCCGGCGGCGGTGGATACTCTGCCCCAGCTCCCAGGCCCGTGGAGAAGGTCATCATTGTCAAGGTCATCAACGAGGGACACTCCGGTGGCTACTCTGGCGCCCAGTCCGGTGGCTACTCTGGTGCCCAGTCTGGTGGCTACTCCGGCGGCCATGGTGGCTACTCCGGTGGCTACTCTGGAGCTCAGTCTGGTGGCTACTCCGGCGGCCGGTCTGGTGGCTGGAACAAGGGCTGGTAAACAATCCACCCTAGTCCTGAAACCCCTCCTCCCTGGCCCCACCCCACCCAACCATCCAAACTAAGTTCAAACTGACAACCAAAAAGCCATCTGAAGAAGGAGCAAAGGAAACACGTTCCAAAATGGCTTAAGATTAATTTTTTTTTTATTTTTTAGTACACATGTTTTTTTTACATATAAAATAGATACTCTTTGGTAGAATTGATCAAATCTACAAGAAATCAATTTCCATTTTTAATTGTTTCTATTTATACTCTGCGAACCGGTTGAGGTTCTGTGGTTCTGCCGCTCTGCGGCTTCCTGCTTTGACCCAATGCCTGAGGTCATCAGTGGAGGGAAATCAGTCAGCCAAAGTCAGCCTGTCTGTCAGTCGATTTGGTCGGTAATGGGACAGCAGGCGGCTGTGAGGTTAGCTCTCAATTGAAGACCAAACACAAAGGCAAATCAATTTGGGCCGTCTAGCACTTGGCCTGGTGCACAAAATTGCGCAACCAAAGTGCACTGCCATTGTGATCTGTGCTGATCTGTGTCTGTGGCAATTGATTGATCACCAATCTCAGTCTGACAGTCAGCCATAGCTGCAGTTGTTCGCACAAAAGACCCAAATTTGATTTTTATGCCGCCCATGAAAATGAAACCAACGTGAAAAAGTCAAAAGGTTTAAATGGTTTTCCAAAGCGGCCAAACCATTATGTCAGCGCCGTGAATGGCAGAATAAACAGAAGCGTTCTCTTTTTTGGTAGCTAAACTGAATATAGAGCGCAGATCAGTTTCAAAATAATTTAAATCATAATTGAACTTCTAGCTTCTAAAATCTTTTAGCTGTATCCAACATTGTGTACCTTTCGGCTGACCCTGACATTTGGTTAGACAAAGAGACAGAAGTACGCACTGCACTGCACAGCCACATTGTGAAAGAAAAATGCATGGAAGCTGCTCGTAACTTTTGCCACACCGCAGATAAATTACCGATGCTTGAGTTTATTTAAGCCAACAAGTGTTACGTAAGCGTTGATGCACTCTTAGAAGACCACAGATTTGTGGGGAGTGTCCATCGAGCCAAAACATATTCTCCACTCTCTGCGTGTTCATGGTCTATTTTCCTTGGGATCTGTGTGGGAATTCCTTAGTTATGTGTCAACTCATAGAGAACATAAAGTTGCACCAGAAAAATTAACCCAAAACTGATACTGATTGATTGATCGATTGTTTTGCAAACCTATTTGTCAGACAGCACGAATTGTGTGCAATCATTGCAAACGGTAGCCAAAAGACAAACACGCAGCTGGTGGCACCAGCACCTTCGACAAACCAGAAATCGTTCTGAGTAATGGGCAGACCATCAAGAATCGATTGAAGGCTCCTCGGGGCACTGCCAAACTCAATTAAGTAGACTAAGGCTGGCTGTTACACAAAAATGGCGAGCCAATAGATCGATGTTCGGTGTTCGGTGATCATGATGCGGGCTTGCCATGGATCGATATCGGTGCAGTCAGGTGCCCATTCGCAACTGAACCTGGAGGCGTTGCCGGGCAGACTGCTGCTGTTTGGGACCTACGGCTTGCTGGTCGCTAACAAAGCGTACGAAATTGAAAGTCGATGTTGGCATAATGAGGCCCAAGCCAAGACGAGCGGCAGCCAGTGCAGGCGGCTTTGGCTTTGGCTTTGGCTTTGGCAGTTTTGGCAATTACATCTGATTATACGACTCAGCCGACGACGACAACGAAGCTGCTGCCGATGCTGGAAGCCGCTGCTGGTGCTGGTGCTGGTGCTGCTGCAGCTGCTGCTGCTGCTGAGGCTGATGCTGAGTCTGATGAGGCCGGCTAGAATTTTAGATGAGCTTAGCTCTGGTATAAATAGCCGAGAGTGGGCCCAGTCGGAAATTAGTTAGTTCACGGCAGCTGCAAAGATGCATTCGACTACGAGACGTTTGGCCCTAGTCGGTATCCTGGTGGCTCTGGGTGTCACCGCCTTTGCCAAGCCACATGGCAGTTGGAGCAGCGGTGGTGGCGGCGGCAGCGGCGGTGGAGGCTGGTCCTCGGGCGGCAACAAGATCAGCATCAGTGCCTGGCCCTCCAGCGGTGGTTGGTCCTCCGGCGGAGGAGGTGGCAGCAGCAGCGGTGGATGGAAAAGCGGCGGAGGCAGTGGCTGGCAGAGTGGCGGTGGAGGAGGAGGCAGTGGCTGGAAAAGCGGCGGAGGAGGCGGCAGTGGCTGGCCGAGTAGCGGAGGAAGCGGCGGTTGGTCCTCCGGTGGATCCTCGGGCTGGCCCAGCGGCGGAGGCGGCGGTAGCTCTGCTTGGAAACTGAGCTCGATTGGTGGAGGTGGCGGTGGATCCGGCTGGTCGAGTGCCTTGTCCGGCCTGTCCGGATGGAAGTCCCAGGCCTTGTCAGGCCTAAGCAGCGGCTGGAAGAGCGGCGGAGGCGGAGGATGGTCAAGTGGTGGAGGCGGCGGCGGCTCTGGCTGGAAGAGCGGCGGAGGCAGTGGAGGCAGCGGCTGGTCCTTGGGCGGCGGCAGCTCCTCAGCCTGGCCCAGCAAGAGCAGCAGTGGCTGGTCATCCGGCGGCAGTGGCGGCGGCGGCGGCGGCGGCTGGAGCTGGTAATGCACAGATGCGTGATCCACATGGCAACAGGCAACGAGGCGACAATAGACACTGCTCCACTTGTACATAAATAACATTTCTCTTCTTAAATTTAACCGAATTAATTTTTTTTTTTTGCATTTCTTAATATGCCAATAAATGTTACAACACTTGTAATTCTGTGAGAGTGAGAGAGGAATATGGAGAAGAGAGCAAAGAAGCAGTGACCAAAGAGCTTGAACGAATTCTCGTCAAGCTTCAGCTGAAAGAGAAGCGCTGTGGGGAAGAGTCTACATACTATGTATGTATGTACGTATGTATGTATGTATGTATTGGGCACTCTTGCAAACAGGCGAAATCTATTTAATTACGAGTATTATCTGGCGATAGTGGCAGTTATCCGATTACAACGAATTATTAATGCTACTCGCATTTTGATGGCGTAATAATTTGACACAATGTGGAAGTACGCGATAATACATCTCTAATACATAAATACATATATATACATACTTACATACATATATGTAAATCTATGGCACCCATAGCATTAACTATTATTGCCAAAGATGACAATAATGTTCCAGTAAGCTGCAAGCACAGGCATGAGAATACCTTTTCAACTTCCCTTTTATTTCGTTTCGTTCTTGCAAAACTAACTGTACATCTGGCAGGTAGCGGGACCCTCAGCGACGCTGAGAGAGCGTCAAGCGGGAGAGCGAAGTATGCCTTAAGCTAGAGATGGCACTTTTGGCTCATTTCTGCTGTCAGTTAACAGCATATTTATTTACTGCATATTGGCATTAGCGCCGTGGGTTTTTCACTAAAAGGGTTTTTTGTTGTTACAAAAAAAACTGTTTATTCTTGACACACATTTTTTTTAAAGATATTTTTACGGCACTTGCTCAACCTTGACATGCCCAGAGAGTGGCACTTCTTCTGTAAGCGCCTCGGCCGGGAATGCTGTCTCGATGTGCGAAAATTTGGCTACTCCTACTCCTACTACAGCAATAGTCTGGCTCTTATTTTGGATTATGAGCTCCAGGCAGTGTTACTTCAATTCTTTATGTTCTGCAACATTTAGTTCATTAAAAAGAACTGAAGTACAAAGTGGTCAAAAGAAGCAGAGGAGAGGCGACAGCTCTTGGACATTTGATTCATTTATGCTGAAGTGCTATCTATGGCTCGTGTCATGAAATGGAATGTGCACTTATGAACAAATATAAGAAGAGAAATTGTCTTCCCTTCGGATTTGGGGGAAAAAAAAGTGTCGTATAAAATGCATTAAATTTCTTTATTAGTAAAAAAAAACATAGAAATAATAGTAGAAACAGTTGGGGCAGAAGCTTTGGATCAAAAAAAAATTATTATGGTGTCTCTATCTCTATGCCATGGAACACATATCAGCGTCAGCTGCTGGAGTAGTTTGGTGTTGGTGTTGTTGTTGGTGTTGGTGTTGGGGTTTGGAGTGGCTTACCAGCCTCCTCCGCCGTGCTTGCCACCGCCGCCGCCGCCACCTCCATTGCCTCCCTGCCAGGAGACTGAACTTCCACGATTGCCAGCCAAAGACCTGCTACCGCCGCCATATCCACCTCTACCGCCGCTGCCGCCGCCGCCATTTTGCCAGCCTCCTTGGCCGCCACTTCCATGGCCTCCTCCTCCACCGCCGCCGCCGCTTTGCCAGCCTCCTTGTCCACCGCCGCCGCCATTTTGCCAGCCTCCTTGGCCGCCACTTCCATGGCCTCCTCCTCCACCGCCGCCGCCGCCGCTTTGCCAGCCTCCTTGGCCACCGCCGCCATGGCCTCCCTGTCCTCCACCATTATTTTGCCAACCTCCTTGGCCACCGCCGCCATGGCCACCTCCGCCACCCAGCAATCCAGCCGAGGCAAATGCAAAGAGCAGGCCGCAAAGGAAGACAACGAGTAGAGCGTGACGCATCTTGATGAGCTTTGTGAGTCCTTGGATTTGGCTTGGAATGCGAATTGGATTCGGATGGGGGTTGATTAACTGCCGCTGACTGACTGCTGTTGGAACCTTAGCTCCACTGATGATCCAACTGGGCCCAGAGCTGCGTTTTTATAGCTCTTGCCACGGAACTAAATGGGCAAAAACACACACACACACACACACATCAGCTGAGTCATCCAGCGCCCGATTTGGTGGCCCATTCCTTTGCTAACGCTCCCAAAGGAAGGTTGAGAACTGCACTCGAAGTCGAGCGAACAATTCTACACAATGCACAATGTTCTGTGTGTTCAAGTACGGCCCACAACGCGCATACGCAATGTTCGAGACATCAGAACATCGCGTATACGCCACCGCTACAGCCGCAACAACCACAACAACCACAACAACCACCGACGCAATGTCGTTGTCGAACCACTTGTAAATCGCTGAGCCATAGCTGCATCATTAATTGCAAACAGTTTACACATTTAGCCACCAGAGCCAGAGCAATTTGTCTTGAAAGTTTACAATATTTATTCTATGCTCCGAACATCTTCTGAGTGTACCCTGGATATGGGAGGGTATAATGATTGTATGCTGCAGACGGTACCCAAGAATATTTGCAGAAATTAAAGCAATTTGCAGATCAAAGAACAGTCTCATAATACTTAGAATATAAATAAAAATCAGAGCCTTGGCCCTGGACGAATCTTAGTTTCAATTTGCAAATGAAGCTGAGCGACAATCACCCCGGACTCACGTTACTCAACTTGGTACCAGCTTCATTCTAGGTAACATAAATGGCATCCACAGAGCATTCATGTTACGTGCATCATCAGACGTTGCAAATTCATTTTTATGTTCATATTTGTTGTTGTTGTTTCGTTTCGTTTTTGGTGTTCCCAGGCAATATTTGCGGCAATTAATCTCAATTTTCACTGCTGCCCCAACCGCAACAGCAGCAGCAGCAGCAGCAGCAGCAGTGGTAGTGGCAGTGTCAGTAGTTAAATGTGTTTAACACGACTACCATACACCCAGCAGACGTACAGCCAGGCAGACAGACAGTAGTTCAATGTCAATTTGCATGCAAACACAGCAAGATGATTGCTCAAGTGCATTACTTACCATAAATTTCATCGCCAGAGCGTCAGTCTCCACCACCAGCACCACCAGTTGGCTGGTAACGCATGCTGCACACATGACCCAGAGCCAAGTCCATGCGGCGACCTCTAACACACGACATAGCGCTGCGCACCATGGGGCAAACTTCAACATAGAGATGGAACCAAACTTCTTGCAAAGTTTATAAGAAAACATAGACCTGCAGCATAGTTAGCCATAAAATAATTACTACAATAAAAAACTATTTTTTGTAGCTATTTAAAGTATCTCAAATAAGTAGATAGTGCCCCACTGTACCGCCTGCTGCTGCTGCTTGCTTCTTTGGACTATTGATGATCACCACTGAACTACACTCGCATCTGCACCTTGGAAACAACCAACGATAACAACAACAACAACAACAACAACCATGTTCCACAATCATTTAAAAAATGCATAAAATAATAATTATTGCCCCAAACAGAATCGAAGATTCTCAAGTTTAGAATGTTAATTGCTAACGATCAAAGATTCAAAGTTCTTCTGAATATGCGATGATGATCGAGCAGCTGAGGTCGAGTCTGGGTCTGTGCATTCAATATTTATCCCATAATTGAACAACTTTCGGGTCTTAAAAGTGGAGGGGAAACCAGCGAGCATCAATTTACAATGCAATTTTTGTATTTGTTTAAAAAAAAAATATGTCATAAGAATACAAACAAAAAATATACGAATTTTACAATAAAATATTATGATACAAATTCAGAGAGAGAGAGGGAGGGGAGGGAGTTGGCAGGATGCTGGCAGGGATGGATTTTCGAGGGAGCTGTTCACCACCAACCGCTGTTGGAGCCGGAGCTGGAGCCGGACCAGCCATTGCCCCAGCCGCTGTTGCCGCCCCAGGCGTTGTTGCTGCTGCCGCCCCAGCCTCCAGTGTTGCCCCAGCCTCCGCTGCTTCCACCCCAGCCTCCAGTGTTGCCCCAGCCTCCGCCGCTGTTGCCCCAGCTGCCACCGCCTCCGCCACCGCCGATCTTGATTACTTTAATGATCTGCGGCTGGGAGGACCAGCCGTTGTTCCAGCCACTGCTGCTGCTGCTGCCGCCCCAAGGATTGGAGCCCCAGCCAGCGGATGAGGTACGGATGAGGCCGGCGGTGGCGCCAGCAACCAGAGCGCAGAGCACAATGAACAGCTTCATGTTACTTGGGAGTTGTGTGTTGTCTTGTTGGGGGATCCTGATCCTGGTTGGTTGCTTGTGCGTGTGCGTCTCGAAGTGTGGCACTCGAATGATACGGATGCTTGGACAGCGTTCGGTATTTATCGCAAAACTGAGTGCCCAGAGACAGATCTCGTCTGGGGCGTCAAGTCGAGAATCCACAAAATAAATCGCACTCGACTGGCTGGGTGGGTGGCAGGGGAATGCAATGGGATGAGGATTGGGGATGAGGATGAGGATGAGGGGGCTATTGCGTTGGGTTGGTTGCCCTGGACGGGTGATAAACAACCGAAACCAGCTGCGAAATAGACACCGACGCCGGTCGAGGTAATTGCAGTTTATTAAACCACTTTGAGCGTCCGATTCTTGACCAGGGTCAACTTGTTTACAAGCAGCCACAACACCAGCTGACACCTTCTCCCAAACAGAGGCAGAAGCAGCCAGCCAACTACTCAACCAGCCATGTGGCCAAGTTGCAACATTTTTCGTACATAATTCACACGCTTGATGGATCATTTCCTCGCCTCGATTGTGGCGGAAACTGCCTCCGACTCGGCTCGGCTCGGCTTGGGGCTTAGGCTTAAGCTTAAGCTTAAGCCGCGGACAAGCGGACAGGCGGACTGGCGGACACACAGCGAAGAAGCTGGCGTCGGGTGAGTCATTTGTCATTCTGGACAGAGACAAGCCCAAACAGACTCGCACAGAGACACCAGGTGAAGGGGCCCGCCTGCAGCGGCACAGTGGAAAAATCAACCAAAAAGCAGATCAACCTCGAGCCCTTGTCATTTCCTGCTTGTCAGCTAAACGGGATCAAGTGAGACTTCAAGTAATCGGAGACTTTTGAAACAGGATGGAACCCTTGAAATGTTGAACTTATTTCAGTTATAATTAACAAAAGTTCATGGCAACCCAGTTCATATGTCAATCGAGCACATTGAAAGCCAACATTGTAGTTAATCGATTTCAGCTAACAACTTTCGACACATAAAGATGCCAGCCAGCATGTAGGATATCCAGAACATTAAGAAGGTACTAAAACAAGCGCCAAATGGAACTCATTTCCAGCTGCCACTCGCTCCAGTTGGAGGTTGGAGGAGTCAAGCTCCCTGACAACATTCACCATTGACCTTAGCTGACAATAAAGCATCAGCTGGATGCAAACCAGATGACATCCAATTCCAATTTGCGACACCGCTCGCCGATCCCACTGTACGCCAGAGTCAACAATTATCTCGCAGCTCGTTGCATGCACAGAGATTTGTGGCGACACTGCGGCCTCTTTCTACACACAAGTTGTGCTTTGCATAAGCACAAAAAAATAATAAACACGAGTTTAATTGAATTGTCAACGCTTAGAAGGCAAATTGTAATCGCAATCGGGTCAGACCAGACCAGGCCAGGCCAGGCCAGGCCAAGACGAGCCAGTCCAGACTGAGACCAGGCCAACAATAAACAAAAAAAGCAGAGAAATAACAAAGCCTTACTCTAGCTACTATTATGTATATATGATTATGTGTTAGAGAATAGTTTTAGGACTTCTTGGGCGTTGCCGTGGAAGTTGCAGCTGGCGCGGACGCTGTTGCATTGGGGCAGCTGCCGCAGTGCTCGTGGCTGGCCGCACGCACTGCGCTGGAGTGCTTGCCGTAGGGGGATGTGCCGCTGACCTCCAGGAAGTAGTTGCCACGAATGTTGTGCGGCACGCCGTAGCCCATTGGCTCCTCGTTGCCCGGACAGCGGAGATCTCGCAGCCGCTTCAGTGAGTTGCAGCGCGTGGCCATGAAGTTGTTCTCGTTGCCGGGTAGGATGGACTCTGCGTAGTACTGCCAGGAGCGGCCGTGGGCACACACCACCGAGTAGCAGCCCTCGGGCAGCGGATTTATGCCGCCCGGATAAAAGTCCGCGTCACCCACCGGATCCTTCTTGCCCAGCACGCCCGGATTGCTGTGTATCACATCGATGAAGTCGGCATCGCCGCGCTGCAGACCAGATAGAATTTCGCCCTCGTTGAAGCACGGCTTGGCCGGATCCAGACCGGTGATATGCGGAATCGTTTTTCCCGTCAAACGTTGCAGATGGCGACCCGCCGCGCCGACAATGTGTGCGCCCAGACTGTGGCCAATAAGATGAATATTATCCACTGGCACAATGTCCAGCAAATGCACCAGGCCATGGGCAATGTTCTCGCCAATCTCCTCCGTGTTGAAGGCGGACCATGTGTAAAGGGTGTCCACGAAGCGTGCCGCATCCACAGCCTAAAATAAATCAATAACTGATTAGAGATGATAAATAATGATGTAGCGCATATATCGGCACAGTTTATTACACTGTTACATTACTCTGCTCATGAAGAGTGACTTGCTAAGAGTGGAAACCTAAGCATACACATATGATTACTTGGAACCAGCTAACAATATCATTTCATACTACAGAATCTACTATCCCAAATATTTACTTTCCCCCTTGTGTTAGGCTCACGGCAGCAACTTTACAATAGTTCCATCTCTAGTTCTGACACTCTCTCAGAGAACGCCTAATATACTCTCTCTCAGCTTTGCGAAGGGTCTCCATGCACCGCTACCTGCTAGCGACGAAGCGTCTCCATGCACCGCTACCTGCTAGCGGCGCTGGTAGTTGTAAGCTTGTAACGGGAAAAAACTCTGTCCCTTTTCGCAATGTGTCGCAGACACCCCGAAACTGTTAACAGTTATTTGCGAGCTATGGAACAAAGAGACCGTGAATCTACATTTCTGTGTGAGCAAATATGAATCAAAGCTAGGCTAAATGCTTCTATCACACCCTCGTAATTTTGCATGCAGATCTGTGCATGCGAGTTTCTTACTCGCTTCACTTTACTTTAAATCTCAATGTGCATAGGAAAAGGCTCTGCTGCTGCGCTGCCGCTCACGTACACATGCATTACAGTGGTGTGCACCAATATAGTGCTGCTCCGGCAACTGCTCTAAAAAGCTTCAAGCGAGGTGGTATGTGTGAGTGAATGTTTAAAATAAGCTAAATCTTCTATCTTTGTTGCCCAATTCCTATCCAATCTATTCTATCTGAAAGATTGCTTGATAATTTGCCAACAATAAACCCTCTGCTAAACGTAACCAAAAACTTACCACAAAGTTAACATCACCGCGACAATTATAGGCCTTGGACATGACATCTATGGTGTCGGAGCCATTCACAGTGGTGGTCCAGCCGGTGGCCAATATGACGACCTTCTTCTTTGGATCAAACAGCGGACTCTTCCACATGGTTTGCGCATCGGTCAGATGAAAGTTTGCCTTGGTGCAGGTCGTCTGCAGCTGGAAGTGCATCTTATTGATGTCCGGCGTAAACTTGGACTTGATTTTATGCGACGACAGAGCCTGGGAGCCTGCCAATTTGCAAAAACACGCTTCAGTTAGCACTTGAATATCACTCTGTGGTGGATGTTTACTCACAGATGAAATTGAGTGAGCTGGAGACAAACTCAAAGGGGTAGCCGGCAATCAGCTGTTTGCTGCCATCGAGCAGACCCTGGGGCGTGGGCAGCAGGCTGGGATCAATGATGCTCGTGCCCACGGTGCCAATCGATTCTAGGACATCCGGCACGGTCCACTCAATGGACCGAATGGGAGAGGCCAGCTGCAGCACCAGCAGTCCCATCAACAGCAGTCGTCCCGTAAGCTTGGCCTGGCCATGAATGCGTCTTGAGTTGCCCATCCTGGACGGGAGTTGAGCGCGGACTGAGTGCCGGAAACTGCTCGACAAAAGTATTTATAGCCCGAGGGTGATGCCTAGTGCCTAGCATCTCCTTATATATACACTTATTTACACCACATCACAGCAATCAGATAAGGTGCACTTGTCACTTAATTAGTTTCCATTTCTCGATCACACTCACTCGCTCACTCGATCGTATGCTCGAAAGCCCACAGTGCCGCACAGTCAGAGACGCCCGAGCTCCACCCCATCAGAATCAGATCTGGAGACAGAGATAGAGTGATACGAATGTGTGGAGTGGGGAGGCAGCCTGCAGTCGCATGCCCAATGCCTCATCTGCATAAATTTCAATTCAACACCAACTCAAAATCGACGCAGATAGCAAAACCATAAGGCCCAGACCCACCCGATGCGGTTAACACTCTTTCAAGCAACAATTATTATGATCACCTGCTGATCCCACAGGTCTCTGATCTAACGGCACCGAGGGTCGTCATCGAACTGATTAGCGAGATTAAACCAGATTGTTTTGTAATTTATAAGCTCCATCTACGGCCACAAACTTCCTCATCCAGCTGGCAAGGTCTGCTCTCCCGGGAGTGTATCAAAATACAGGCAAAGTCTCACGTAAAAGTAAAGCAAGTGAGTGCCGCCGCCGCTGCTGCTGCTGCTGCTGCTGCTTCTGCTGCTGATTACGGTTACGACAACACTGCCATATTAATGCGAACCCGTTTCCGAGCCATCGGACTCACAATTCTCAACTCAATATTCCCGATCCCCATGCCCATTGTTATGCTGACGACGTGCATTTGATAATTATTGACGGATGCCCCTTCAAATTATCAAAACCGAAAATACGTCACCCGAAAATTAAGTCTGCCCGCTCAGCGATTCCCAACACGAACCCTGAGGACAGAGGACAGAGGACAGAGGAGCTTCCCCAAATGGGGGACTGGTCGAACATTTGGGGAAATAAACACACATTTATTCACACAGATAGATGCAACATAAACAGAAATCTGTTGAAATCTGTCTGGCCAGTAGGAAATGTTCCATTTGCAACACCTCGGGCAGGCCTAACAGGCGCCGCACTGGCTATTGCTCGAGGTGAAGGAATTCTTGTTTGCATTTTGCCCGAATGGCTCTTCAGCATTGGCATCCACATAGAAGATGCCCAAATCGCTGGCACTGGCATCGTAGCCCATGACTGTTCGGGTGTCAGAGCAACTGCGTCGAAACCAGAGATTCGCATAGCGATCGCATCGCTTGCCCAGGAAGTTGTTTGTGTTCGTGCGGAACACCGTCTCGGCAAAGTATTCGACGGCACGGTTGTGCGAGCAGCTGATGTCATTCAGGCCCTCACAGCCACTCTTGAAGGCAAACAGTCCCTCGACAAAGAAATCGGCATCGCCCACGACTTTCGCTGTGCCCAGGATTCCGGGATTCGAGTGTATAATGTCCACGAACCTGGCATCGCCACTGCGCACGCCCTCCAGATCGTTGCCATCGTAGAAGCAGGGATTTGCCGGATCCAGGCCAGTCACGCGCGCCAAAGTCGCTCCTCCCGACAACTGCCTGAAGTGGCGGCCTGTCGAACCAGCAATCTGTGCACCCAGACTGTGTCCAACCACATACACATTCTCGACGACATAGTTTCGGTTCAGCTTCAGCAAGGCCTTGGCCACATACTCCCCGATGGCGTCCGTGTTCAGCGCCGACCACGAGTACAAAGTGTCAATGAAGTTGGCTGCATCCAGCAACTGTTGGAGCAGAGGAACATCAGATGAAGTTTAGATACATTCGAGTCAAGCTGACTTACCACAAAATTAGTATCATTGCGACAGTTGTAGGCCTTTGCAACTGGAGCACTGTTCGATTCGGAAATGGTTGATCTCCAGCCCGTAATGAAAATGACCGTGGGCCGATCCTGGTAGAAGCCCGGCGCCTCCCACAGCCTCTCGGCCTCAGTGAGCGGAATGCTGACATTGTGGCACTCGTCAGTGCGCAGCAGGAAATTCATACGCGACATGTCCGGTATGGTCTTGGGACGGACAAGGCCCAGGTCAACGATTTTGCTGCATATCTGACTGAGCACTGCGAAGGTGATGCTCAGCGGCTGCCCAATGACTGCTTGCTTCAGCTTATCCTGCAGCTGTTCCAGGCTCTCGCCCAAGCCTAGAATCTTCAGAGTCTCACTCCCACCGAGCTCAGCTCCTTGGTCGCCGCTTGACGGAGCCACGGCCAGGCCGAGAGCCAGCAGAAAGATCAACGGAATGAAAGGTGTCATGGTTGTGTGAGGTGTATATACCATAGCCCACAGGAACCTTTTTATACACCTGTGGACAAGCCAAGCAAATATTTTTCCAATTATATATAATCATAATGGCCCTAAAGATATCCACTATCCGGACTCTTATTAGTTTCGTGTTACAGCCAGCTCCAAATTGCTTGACAGAGGAGCACCAGGCAAGGTCATGGGCAATCTTCGTTGTCAACTGCGACAATAACGAACCATTGACGATCGTTAAAAATATCGCAACTAAAATGAGGAAAGCGCCTAGAAATATTTGAAAATCATTCTGGAAGTTCTCTTTTATTATTTTCTTTCAGTTTGAGAGACTTTGCTTAGGCCCAACAGGCGCCGCACTTGCTATTCCTAGAGGTAAAGAAATTCTCGTTTGCATTGGGTCCGTATGGCTCATGAGCATTAAAATCCACATAGAAGATGCCCAGATCGCGGGAACTGGCATTGTGGCCCATGACTGTGCGGGATTCATGGCAGTTGCGCACTCGCTCGAGATCCTCTTGCCGATCGCATCGCTTGCCAAGGAAGTTGTTTGTGTTCGTAGGGTACACCGTCTCGGCAAAGTAGTCGACGGCGCGGTTGTGCGAGCACGAGTTGATCTTGAAGAGGCCACAGCCCTTCCTGTAGGCCTTCTTCAATCCATTGACAAAGAAATCAGCATCGCCCACGACTTTCTCTGTGCCCAGGACACCAGGATTGGTGTGTATGATGTCCACGAACCGAGCGTTGCCGCTGCGTATGCCCTTGGCATCATCGTAGAAACAAGGCTTCGCCGGATCCAGGCCAGTCACGCGCGCCAAAGTCGCTCCTCCCGACAACTGCCTGAAGTGCCGGCCTGCCGATCCAGCAATATGTGCACCCAGACTGTGTCCAATCAAGTGCACATTATCAATCACATAATTCCGGTTTAGCTTCAGCAAGGCCTTGGCCAAATACTGCCCAATGAGCTCCGTGTTCAGCGCGGACGACGCGTACAGGATTTCAATGAAGTTGGCTGCATCCAGCAACTGTTGAAGCAAAGATGAATATGAGATACATTCGAGTCAAGCTGACTTACCACAAAATTAGTATCATTGCGACAGTTGTAGGCCTTTGCGACTGGACCACTATTCGAATCGGTAATGGATGTTTTCCAGCCCGTAACGAAGATGGCAGTGGGCCGATCCTGGTAGAAGCCCGGCGCCTCCCACAGCCTCTCGGCCTCAGTGAGCGGAATGCTGACATTGTGGCACTCGTCCGTGCGCAGCAGGAAACTCATACGCGACATGTCCGGCCTAATCTTAGGACGGATAAGACCGCGGCGAATGAATGTTGTACAGGCTTTACTTAACTTGGAGAAGGTGTGATCTATGAGGGGCGCAACGAGCTTTCCTATAAACGGGCCACGCGGCTTTCCCACTTCTTCCTGAATCTCATTTTCACTCGAATCAGCTGCAATTTCAGCGATCGAAGAAGCCACGAACAGGCCAGTAGCCAGCAGAAGCAGCAGCGAAATAAATGGTGTCATGGTTGTGTGAGGAGACGACAGCCCTTGGCCACCGTTTTTATAGACATGGCAAATATTTAGGAGACCTACGACATCTACGTTCTGGATTCTTTGGATTCTTCTGCATTCCAATCAGTGGTGCACGTGCCAAAGCTGCCAAATGCGAATTTGCCGCTTGCCCAACCAGGTAGATTTTTCCACTCAAAAGGGGAAGAGTATCAGCGGGTGGAGAGGGGCAAAAGCATTGCCAATCGCATAATTTCCACAAAAACATTTTGCGTTAGGAAATGCTTTGGCTACTGCTGCCCAAAATGCGAATCAACATTAATAACTACTTTGCTACCGCTGGGAATTACAGGCTGCAACTGAGACTATAGTGGGTGTAGATACGTACGAGTTTGTATGGGGCGGCTATTACATTGGTAATTTTGTGTGCTGGAATTGCTGTGCTGTTGCTGTTGCTGTTGCTGTTGCTGTTGCCGCCATGCGCCGTCACGCGAGCCAAGTGAACGAGCAAAGTGTGAAAGTGAGAGAGTGAGAGAGTGCTCGGAGGGGGCTGGCTGATCATTTGATCGAGACCGATTCACGGCTTAATCTTCCCCTAAATGATTGTTCATGTGTGCGCTGTGCTGCCTTTGGTAAGTTATCAATAATTTATCGCAGCTAAAATGTTTCGCAAAGTGTATGCCAAGCTGCAGTTATATCACATGGCAAATGGATGAATGCAACGACTCCTAAAACACACTTCAGGTGATTATCGCTGCATGTTTTGTACTCGTATTTTGAGCATATGTTTATGCTATTCTTATTATATTTCTACTCGGACAGAGCACCCATAGTTCGTGTGCATTTTGTGTATTTGTGTTTTCAGTTTGGCAAAATTATTCGACGGCAGCCACAATCAGCCAGATGTACACATGTAACTCTAGCTATTTTGTTTCGCTTTTTACCTATTGCAAGTCTTCCAGATACTCGTGTCCGTCAGTTATTGTTTGGGTTAGTAGATTGGGTGAGTGTGTCAGCTCTGTTGGTGGCTCTTTGGTGCAGGCTGGCGATCAAGCGAGGAGCACTCGTTCGCTCTGTTGGCTTGCGTCTGAATTGCTTTTAATTGCAGTCAATGGTAGACTCGTAGACTCGTGGAAACGAAATCAATTCCGACTGCCACACATATCTTTTATGGGGTTATCTGTAATTAGACAAAAGACACAAGTTTCCATGGGGAAAGGTTACATTTATTTCCTTGCCTTATTTATTTATTCTATATCCAAAAATACTTCAGTAAATAAAGATACATATTCTAAGATGTCAGTGCAAAAGTAGATTGGAAACAATCAATTCACAAGCTGAAATTCCTGAAGAACTTTAGCTCTGAGTCACAGCAACGAAGTTATGCCACAAGTTCATTATTTAGCTGTAGAACTATTAGTGCGAAAAATAGATGAAAATTCCAAGCACGATACGGATGTTCTCGTACAAAAATTACTTTTCTTTGGGCACGAGCCTAAGAACTGATTGCTGATGGTGTTATATTTGGTTCTATTATTGGTTTTTCCAGCAACTGCAAGTTGGACTTCTGCAGTCAAATTCCATAAATATTATTACTAACTAAAAGCTGTGCCATCTTCCCCATAGATCCATTGTCTCTTGGCTCTTTTGGCTGTTCAAGCTACATACCTGCACCCCCCCCATTTATATTTAAGCTTAATTTGTTTGTTGTTCGTCTGTTTTGTTGTACCAGCAATTGGCAAGTGCAATTTTTGGAATATTATTTTGCACAATGAAAATCTCTTAGTGCATTGTTTGGACTCAGAGGCCGGGGCCCAGTGTGGCTCGCTCTGCCATTCTATTGTTGATAAACTCAATTAGTTGGCCAATTGACGGAGTTGTGCCAAAAAATGCTGGTAGCTTCCGCATTGGCGCCGGAGATCCGCAACTGTGAGAGGCATAGAGGCCATGGCAGTAGGGTTGCTCTCGGATTACGCAACGAGCTTACACCGAGAACAGCCGCCGAAGAGGCCCAAAGGCAAAGCTCGAATATTACGTATACGCACTGGCATTGCAACAGGCCACTCAATGGCTACGTCGATGTCTGCCACTGCGTCCACATACACGTAATGCGGAGTAAGTGCAGCAAATTATCAGCTCCAGCCGAACGGGCCGAGCGGCAGGCAGGCAGGCAGATGTCCGTTGCAACATTGTGGATGGCGATGGCCCAAACGGAGCAAGCCAAGCCAAGCTAAACAAAAGCAGTTTGTGGTTGGAAAATGCAGGAAAATGCAGCACGTACACATGTGCACATCAAGTGTGTTTGTGCTCAGCCCCGGAGCATATAAAATGAAACAGAGTTTGCCAAAAGAAATTAGTTGATTCGAAACATTTCGCCGCGTCGGTTAAGCCTTCACCCCAGACATCATCACAGACTCAGATTCCAAACACAATCCATTACAATATGTTCACGTACCGCTCAAAGCTGATGCTGTTGCTGGGCCATCTGCTGGCTGGCGCTTTGTGCTCCCCCATTGGCGAGGACTACGCCTCGGGCGTCCACTCGGCTGGCCTGCTGGGCAACTATGCTGGCGGCCTCACTGGCGGCGAGGCGCTCTCCAAGCTGGACTTTTCGCACGAGTTCTCCTCGTCGGAGCACGACCAGCTGGGTGCGCTGGGCGATCATCTGAGCGAGGACAGCTTCCCGGCCGACTACGGCAGCAGCAGCGATGCTGGCGAGGAGTATGCCGAGGCCAGTGAGCAGCACTCCCACTACGAGGAGGACCACAAGCCGGTGCCGGGCATCGATCACGGCAAGGGCGCCTTCAGCTACAGCAGCCTGTACGAGTTCAAGGATCGCGACGAGCACGAGCTGCACCAGCTGCAGCATCAGGCACTCGAGCAGCAGGTCGAGCACGAGCAGGAGCATCAGCTGGAGCATCTCGAGCACCAACTGAGTCTGGATCATCAGCTGGATCATCATCTGGATCTGGAGCATCACTACTAAACCCTGTGATAGTCAACCCAAATTATAGCAAAAAGCCTCAACAATTACTTCGATGGGCAAACTTTGACGCAATTCCTTCTGTTTTTTTTTTTTGTTATTTTTTGAAGCGATATTTGAAATAAATCTAAGTTAAAAAAACACACAAAAATATTATCCTGTCGGATCAAAGGATTCAGGGAGCATCTAAGGGCCATGAGCCTTTACCAACGGCTGCTCGGAAAAGTCCAAATTGTCGCTGATCACAATGCGTGGCTCATGCTGGGGCAGCGTGGCCGCGTGTGGCAAGTGTGAGGTCAGGCCCTCAACGTAGAAGTGCGGCCATGGCTGGGCTAGGGGCGAGGGTGCCTGCACGTTGGGCAGCAGCAGCAGCTGTGTGTCCGAATCGGCAGCCAGCTGCAGCACACCCGAGCTGATGTGTATTGCCGGACCATAGGCTAAGAAAATGCATTACAAAAGTGACAAAAAAGTGTCGCAGAACGTGTGTATTACTCATACGCACCGTGAACAGCGTGCGTCGATGGCAGCTCCTGCTCCACCGCATGGCCAGCTGTCAGTGCAACGGCGACTGCCAACAGCAGAATAAACAATTTTACTTTAAACGCTGACATTTTGCTGTGGGACTGCACTTACAGCACATCTTATAGCCACCAAAGAACGGAAGTTCTTGGTCTTGGCTGAAAGACCATCGGGGTACGATCTTTTGACACTTTTTGCAGCCGAACTTGGCACATAAATTATTGCATGACAATATGACGATAAAGATCAAGATCTTGGGTGCAAAAATTGGTAATTAAAAGAATTTATTACGCTGGGTTTTTTGCTTTTAAAAATCAGTTTAAAATCAGTTGAAATTGAATCAACGTTGGCCTTCATACAAGTCCCAGTTTCATGAGCGTAGAAAGCGTAGAAAACCCAGCGATTTTGAATACAATTCAATCGATCTTTGCTGCTGATCGAGTGCTGTCGCTGTGCTGCATAGAAATTACTTTTAATCCAAAGAATGCATGAAAATTTGTCACGAACACTTGTCAAAAATGACATAATCGAAGGGTAGCACACGTAAAAAAAACCCAACTCTTAGATTGAATGCGTGGATATTCCAGTGAGCTAATAAAGCAATGATGAATCACAGCAGTCAGAGGAAAACGAAGGCACTACAAATGCTTTTGATGGAGACTCAACTTAGGAGGGCTTAAGCAGCCCTCGCAAATGCCCATCCAAAGGCCCATCGATCAAGTGTCTGGGAGTCACAGGTGAGCGTTCATTGCCAGCCTCTGAGAGCCGGAATCGAGTCGGAATCATTCGAAGTTAGTTAGCAGCCGCGTGCTAATTTCGGTTAGAATATCAATAACACAATGAACTCTGGAAAAACGAAGAAACGTAGAGAGAACCATGAACGACCAACCGAAAAAAAACCCCAAATAAAAATAGAAGACAAACGAAATCGTTTGATGGACGGACGGCTTATTCTGGCGATTGCATAAGTCCGCAGTGAGTCTGAGGTCGAAGCAATTTGAGAGTGTTATGAGATCCATCAGAGTGTTGTAAATACAATGACTGCGAATAATAAAGTTCGAATTTGGGGTTTGATTTGTTGATTTATTTTATGTACACAGCGATCGGCTCGAAATTATGCACAAAAAGTATACTCGTAATTATTCGATTTAGAACTAGGAAAAAAAAACATAGATACACAGTTGAGTAGGTTTAGGTAGGGTTTAGGTTGAGTGCGGTTGGGATTGGGCTGTGGTTCGCTTTCGCTTAGCAGCCGACAAGCTTCTCAAAGATGCCACCACGCTTCCAGCCACCGTTGAAGCCACCAGCGGAGGAGCCACCGTTGTAGCCACCATTGTATCCACCGTTGTATCCGCCGTTGTAGCCTCCGTTGTAGCCTCCGTTGTAGCCTCCGTTGTAGCCTCCGTTGTAGCCTCCGTTGTAGTCGTTGTAGTCAGCCGCAGAAGCACTGGAGGATGCGCTCGAGTAGCTGCTGGCCACTGGTGCTGGTGCTCCATAGACTGGCGCTGGCACGCGTCCAGACTGATCCTCATCGACAATCACCTTGATGGTCTTCACAATCTGTTGGCTCTGTGGCCGGGCGGGGGCGTAGCTGATGGGAGCTGGAGCATAGCTGACGGGTGCTGGAGCTGGAGCTGGAGCTGGAGCGTAGCTGACGGGGCGGGAGATGGCCACAGGTGCTGGGGCGGAGTACGTGACTTGAGCTGGAGCAGGAGCGGCTTGATAGCGCACCACGGGCTGGGGAGCGGGCACCGAGTAGGTAACTGGAGCGGGAGCAGGCGCGGCATAAGTGACAGCAGGCGCACGAGGAGCCGAATAGGTCACAGAAGGAGCTGGCGCGGAGTAGGTCACAGAGGGAGCTGGCGCGGAGTAGGTCACGGAGGGTGCTGGCGCGGAGTAGGTCACAGCGGGAGCTGGAGCGGAGTAGGTCACAGCGGGAGCTGGAGCGGAGTAGGTCACAGCGGGAGCTGGAGCGGAGTAGGTCACAGCGGGAGCTGGTGCAGAGTAGCTGACAGCAGGCAGTGCCTGAGCCGAGCTGGAGGCACTGGCACTTGAGCTGGCGCTGGAGTAGCCCTGGCTGTAGCCACCATAGTTGCCGCCATAGCCCGAGTTACGTCCGTAGGAGGAGTACGATGGCTGCTCCACCACCTTGATGATCTTCACCACCTGCTCGCCGCCATAGCCGCCTCCGTAGCCGCCTCCATAGCCACCTCCGTAGCCACCTCCATAGCCACCTCCATAGCTGCTGGATGAAGCGCTGCTGGAAGCGCCGCTGGAGCCGTATCCAGAATTGTAAACGGGACGACTGGGCTGGCTGTAGTAGCCTTGATTGTATCCGCCGGAATATCCACCGCTGCCATAGCCACCGCCGCCGTAGCCACCGCCGCCAGAGCTGCCGCCACCGATGCCGCCACCGAGGCCGCCTCCAATGGCCTTGAGAAGCGCCAACTTGGCGCCCAGCAGCGCCTGGGCGGGTGCGGCAATGGCCAGCAGGGCAACTGCTATGCAAACGAACAGCTTCATGATGTGGATTATGGATTGGGTTTGGGCTTAGGACTGGACTGGACTGGATTGGGTTTGGTTTTGGGTTTGGGTTGGTGGTGCGGCGGTGCGGTGCTACTGGCTCCTTAAGCAAAACTCAACTGATGTCCCAATTCGTGGAGACGCACTAATTTATAGGCAGCGCCAACATTCGATCTTTCATCTCGTTCCCCAAACACTTCCCTCGCCCATCAATGGCTTAGCTGTATCCATAGCTGTAGCTGAGTCTCTGTATCTGTATCTCTAGCTGTATCTGTAGCTGTAGCTGTATCTGTGCGTGTGTTTGTCCAGTTCTAATCTATGCCACAAGCAGGGCTCAGAGCTGCGCTGAGCTTGATCCAACGAGCGACAGTTTGGAGCTTCACCAAGCTGTTTGCTTAATTCATAAATAGTTACTTATAAGCCCAGCCAAGCAGAGACCAACAAAAAACATGGGCGGGGCAGCACAGCACACATATCCGCCACCACCACCACTGGCCACTGGCACCATCCATCCATCCATCCATCCATCCATCCATCCATCCATTGGGCTGTGCCTGCCTGTCCCACAGTTCATCTGTCCGACTGTCTGTCACCTCAACTACTTAACCATCAAGTGAGATATTTTGCTCGCATCTCAGCGTAGAAACACAACAGCAACAAAAATAAAACTGCCAGCCAACTCTTGGCGCTTGGTTGCCGGCACGGATTCGCAAGAAGCGCAGGTAATTCCCCAAACAAAATAATACACTGAGAGAAGGGGTTGTGTGTTGTTTATCAATAGAATGGATCACAAAGAGCATGACTATATTTTAAAGAACATGCAAAAAACCAAGAAAATATTTTGTACATTTCTAACATATATTTTTGTATGGAATGTAAACTTCGAATGTTAAGTAGAAATTTATATACAAATTTGTATTAATTGTAAAATGTTTCCTTGCTATTTTTACCTATAAAATTCCTAACGTTATAATTGCTGAGCTTTGATTTTCTGAGTCTGACAACACTGCAATGTCCGCTACCCAATTTCTCTCAGTGCACTCGCTGGACCATGTGCGTGGCCATTGTATTGTCTTTGTCACTCATTCAGTCACTGAAATCTTGTGCATGGCTACACGTAGTCAAAGGGGTTGGGGGGGGAGATGGTAGACGGGGACAACGACTGCCTAGCCAACGCTACGCCAAAGCACGCCCAACCCTAAGTCCGTACACCGAGCGCCGAGCCGAAGCGCAACGAACAGATGCGATCCGAGCCAAGCGCCGAGCCGAGCCAAGCCGAGCTTCATCCCACTGTGTGGCGCTCAAAAACTTGTCCACGCTGGCCACGTCTCAGGTACGTTTATTTCCATTTAAGATCAAATATTACATATGTAAATGTAAATGTAAATCATGCCTTTGCTTCGCTATTTATCCAGACTGTTATGCAAATAAGGTCAGCCACACAGAACACAGCACAAAAGCTTTTCCTGAATTGTGTGCCAAATGTGCTAAGCCATTTCCATAATTCAGCAACAGGTTATGCATATGTCCGCATGTAGATCCGGGCGGGGTGTGGTGGCATCATACAAATTCCCTTTTTAACGTCAAACTTTTATGTGTGGGTGGGGGAGCATTCTAGGGTTTATATTTGCCACTTTTTTCTGTGGCAAATTTTTGTTGTCTGTTGCCAAAATAGTTCTGAGCTGTACTGTACCCCGTAACTAATTTCTCTTTCTACTTTTCCACCACGTTCTCTGCTGCTGCCGCTGCCGCTGCCTCTCCTCCTTTAGCTCTTATTGGCTAAACATGGCAAATATTAAATCATAGCCAATTTACACATTCCCATTTACAGATTTGTGTGGGTTTTTTTTTCTCTCTCACCATACAGTGGGGTATTTTGATTTGGAGCAGATGTGTGTGCGGCACACAGAATATAGTCCCGATCTCAACAGATTCTCGCATTTATCCCTTACTTTATATACAAGCTAAAGCCCTCAGTTCGATGCACAACTTTCTGTTTATTATCAAAACTCTCAGCCCATGTGTTAGGGTATTAAAACCATCGACTCAAAGCTACAGATTTTCTGCCTACATTTTTATGTTTGTACTTTTCGGTTTCGCATTTCTGTCTGCGGCTGGTGGCATCGATTGTGATGCTGATGCTGGTGCTGAAGCTGGAGCTGGAGCTGGTCCAGCCAAATCAATTTACACCCAAGGCTCGTACAGCATTCTTGGCCGATACGTTTTTTTTGGGCTTGGCTTTTGTGACTTTGACTTTGGCTTTGCCTTTGCTTTTGGTTTTTGGCACTTGATTACCATTAACAGTAGATATTGTTCGGCTAGCCACACGATCTACACCGCAGAGAGAGAGAGAGAGAGAGAGAGAGAGAGAGAGAGAGACAGCTTAGAGAGGAGCAGAGTGAGAAGCAGAGTGGGAGGAGCAGAGAGTGACAGAGAGCTAACTGAATGCGTAAACAGGCAACTGAATGCCGGGCCCAGCACTAAACTCAACTCAACTCAACTCAACTTAACTCTCGATTTCATTCAGAAACCCCCACATGAAGGTCAACCATTCTATGGGCGTTGGGTCTTCAATTAGGTGCGAAATTTTCATTTGGTAATTGTCAAAGCGTTGAATTGCAACATACAAATATTACACAACGAGAGAATGGGTTTTTTTGTGTGTGTGTCAACTGCCACAACCAGCTGCCACATGGAACTGCAGCTGTAGCACGCTTTTGGGCGTCTGAAAACCTTTAAGAACAGCCAAGGAACTGCCAAGAATTATGGTTGGATGCTGTAAAAAATATAAAATAATCTTTTTTCAATATATTTTAACATTTTATTCATTAATTAAACATTTTTTATTAGATATATGGACAAAAAAAAAAAAGGAAGAGAAGCGAAGTTAACTGAAATTCGTTCGTTTTTGAGTCTAGCACAGGCCCGATGCCAGGCCGAGGGGTGGTGGTGGGGCACCAAAGCCCAGGCCAAAGCCACCGCCAGCGCCATAGCCGCTGCCAAAGCCATAAGAGGCGGGCAGGCCACCACCGCCCAGACCGCCGCCAAGCCCACCGCCAAGACCACCTCCGAGGCCACCCAGTCCAGCTCCAAAGCCGCCCAGTCCACCGCCAAAGCTGCTCAATCCGCCGCCATAGCCGCCGACATAGCCAGCGCCTCCAGTCAGTATGGGACTAGCCACGGGTGTGGACACTGAGGTGACCACTGGGGTGACCACGGCAGATGTGGAAATGGCCGGAGCGGCGCCAACAAAGCCGCTGCTATAGCCGCCACCATAGCCGGATCCATAACCTCCGCCATAGCCTCCGCCGTAACCGCCGCCATAGCCTCCTGAATAGCCGCCACCGCCTGGCAACACCGACACCTTGATCACCTTGACCACGTTCTCGCCGCCGCCATAGCCATAGCCGGAGCCATAACCATAGCCGGAGCCATAGCCGGAGCCATATCCCGATCCGTATCCATAACCAGAGCCGACGCCCGAACTGGCGCCGCCCAGCAGTAGATTCAGCTTGCCAAAGGTTGCCTCTCCGGGTGCGAGGAGTGTGACCATCAAGACCACAAGGAGCACAATGCTGGAGCTGCTGCCGCTGTAGAACTTCATGATGATGCGATTGCTGAGCTTATCCACAAAATTTGCTATGACCACGACTGACCACCACCAACTCGCTGACTGTTGAACTCTGGTGACCGGCACTGGGCATTTATAGTGCGCCATGCCAGGCCGCTGGACAATGGTCAACGACTGTTCTGGGGCAGCGATTACCAACGTGTGAAATTACTCAATGGGCCAAGAGTCAGGCCCTAGGCAGGCAGAAGGCTGTCACAAATATATATTTATGTCAAAGTCAATTTACCCAGCTGCGGTTGTTCGCCGTGAGGTTTCCACCTCCGCATAGAACCCACCGAAGATGGGCTTAAAAAACCCCGAAATGCGATCATCCACAGAATGAGACTATTGTGTGTGTGTCAACATTGCAACTTCAAGGGAATTAACACTTTCGATTTCACATGCGCCAAGGAAGTTGTGGCATGATCAGCGTTTGTGCAATGCCAATGGGTAAAACAGTTCTAGAAGATTATCATTATCATCTGGCGGCAAAAAGACATTTGATTGTGGTGTTCCACAACCTGCAAAAGCGGAACTCAGCTGCCTCATAATTGATTCTGTAAAGAAAAGCCGGGAAATATCTTTGGTTCTCCTGCCCAAACAAATGTAGAGATCACTCAGGCTAGAGCTAAACACTCAACACAAATCGACTGTTACAAATTCGTAGTTATATCTAAATTCAAAATAGTATCTTTGGTAGTTCCATCTGATTCCAATGAAGAAGCTCAAGCGCCAGTACGATGATCAGTTCGTGGAGCACAGCGTGTCTAGGCCCTCGGCGCGCGGCAGAAAGTGCTCGAAGTCACCGGAGCCGGAGAAATGTTTGCTCTATAGCACGGATGGTGCCAAGTCGACACTCACGTGCAACTTTGAGAAACGTGGCTGGCAGCAGGTGCCGTCAATCAAAGGCAATTGGAACTTTTACTGGGCCTGCACCCAAACGTGTCGCTTCATCTTTGGCATCGATCAGCCCTATCGCATGCGACCGGATCAGTAAGTGAAGCCCGAATACCTCATTGAGCTGCCGTCATGGCTGTTCTCCACACAGAATCATTAATCACTTTCCCAACTCGATGGAGCTCTCGCGCAAGGATCTGCTGATCAAGAACATAAAGCGCTATCGCAAGGATCTGGAGCGCAAAGGCGATCCATTGGCCCAGACCCATGCGATGACAGTGGAGCTGGGCATTGGGGGTACACGCTACCTGCATCTGGATATTGTACCCATGACCTTTGTCCTGCCCACCGACTACAATCTGTTTGTGGAGGAGTTCCACAAGAATCCGGCCAGCACGTGGATCGTGAAGCCCTCCAGCAAGTCGCAGGGCAACGGCATTTTTCTGGTCAACAAACTGTCCAAGCTGAAGAAGTACGCCCAGGAGGCGCGACACTTCTATCCACTGCTGAGCCGCAACATAAGTGTCATCTCCAGGTACATCGATAATCCCCTGCTCATCGGTGGCAAGAAGTTCGATCTGCGGCTGTTCGTGCTGGTGACCACGTTCAATCCGTTAAAGGCCTACCTCTACAACGAGGGTTTCTGTCGCTTTTGTACAGAAAGGTATGACCACTCGGACATTAACAACGTGTTCATGCATCTGACCAATGTTAGCATACAAAAGACAAACGTAAGACACCAAATGATGACCAAAAGGCAAATTCGGGGTCACCAATTGTGCATTTTTCACCCACAGAAAGTGTACAATTCAACGCATGGCGGCAAGTGGCCGGTGCAGAATCTTTGGCTCTACTTGGATAGCCTGAGGGGCGGTAATGTTTCTACAACTCTCTGGGAACGCATCTGCGAGACAATTCGGCACTCGCTGGACGCTGTGGCCCCGGTGATGTCCAACGATCGGCACTGCTTTGAGGTCTATGGCTATGACATCATCATCGACAGCAATCTGAAGCCCTGGCTGATTGAGATCAACAGCTCGCCATCGATGCACGCGACCACACCAAACGATCGCACGCTCAAGTCTCGACTGATAGACAATGTCCTGGACGTGGTGATGCCACCCAGTGGCATGCCCGAGTGAGTAATGGTGCCCATTGATGCATCCCAACTAATCTTCCATCCGTTCAGTGATCACTGGGACAAGTCGCCCGATCCAAGTCGACTCACAAACTTTACGGTGCTTGTGCCCGTCGTGAAGAAGACGGAGCCGCCAGCACCACTGCCAGTTGCAGCTCCAACACCCAAAAAGAAACGCAAACTCAAGACAGTCAAGAAGAAGCGTGCCCCGCCAATACCGCAACCTCCAGCAAAGCAGGAAGACGACGACGATGATGAGGAGGAGGGACCCATCAAGAGCAGCAAGCACCCAGCACGACGGCCCGTGGCAGTGCCAAACATCAAGACTAGAATCATTCAGCGTTCAGAACGAGCATTCAATGTGTGATTATTGTTTATGGGAAATTGTTAACTTTTAATTCGCAATTCGGTGCCGCAAATATACAAATTACTTACAGAGTACACAAAATAAATGTCTAGGCTACTGCTCTATAATTTATACATATAATACGCTTAACTGCTATGTACTACAAGTGTATATATTTTATTATAATTATTACGTATAAACTAAATGAAGCTGCGTGTCTTTTAGGGACCCCCGGTAACCGAAAGTCGGCTGCACAAAATTTGCCAAAGCTTCGGCTTTGTTCTTAGATGGAGAAAAAAAAAAAAAATTATATTCTATATATAAATGGATATGGTATACAATATATGTACTGCTATATGTGTAGGTGTGTGTGTGTGTGTGTGTGTGTTGGTGAGGGTTTTCTTTAAGTTTAACTTTTCTTGTAACTCTTTTGCAAAATTCCTAACTGTTTGCACACAAAATGGCGTCCGCTTTAAAGCTAACAAAAGAAAACAAAGTAAAGTTCTCTCTATATACAACAAAGACGAAAAAACAAACAAAAAATATATATATATAATATTAAATTAAGTAATGAAGGAGAAATGTTACTTGGAATCGTAACGTGTGTGGGCTTTTCTTTTTTTGTTGTTGGCTTCTGGCATAAACCTAATTATGTACAGAGGCATTTTGACTTAGACATTAGAAATAGATGAATACAATCGAAAGTTCTGTTCTCCAAATGAGCAACGACTTGTCGCCGTAAATGTCGTTCTTAAATGGCTAATAAATGAACTTAAATTAAAGTTAATACAAGATGTATGTATGCATGTGTGTGGGCATGTTTTTATATGCGTTTGTATGGGTGTGTCTTTGTGTACAAAATGTGGACATTTTTTCGAAAAATTCCAACCATCTAAGCTTGAATCGTTTTGCGTAAAAAATAAATCTCTAATTTTTGTTGTTTGTTGCCGGCTGCCAGCGTCACACAAAGCGTCACTTCCATGCGGAAGCGAGGCAAAAGGCAAGATGCTCAGCTCAGTGTAGGATTTGCATTCTCAGCATTCGGTGGCGTAGTAGAAGATCTCCACCTCGCTGACCTCGCTTAGTTCCAGCGGCTGCTGCTGTTGTTGCTGCTGCTGATGATCCTCCACGAGCACATCCCGTGTGGCGCGCGCATGCGCCAGCACCTATAGTCACACTTTCGAGGCATGCGGCTGGGAGCCAGCACTGCTGCCATACTGTGACTGTGCGCCCATCTTTTGCACGGTCTGGTAGGTGGGCTGCTGCTGCTGCTGCTGCTGCTGATGCTGCTGCTGTTGCAGCTGGGAGGGCATAACGCTCTGCTCCCTTATGGTCACTTGGGTAACAAAGGGTCCACGGCTACGCGAGCTGCTGTTCAGGCTGGCCGGTGAGTAGCCGTTGAGTGCGGCCGCCTTCCAGTGCGGCACATTGATGGGCGACGCCGAGGATCCACTGACATTGGCACTGCTGCTGCCTCCTCCATTGTGACTGCTGTGGTTGTGGCTGTGCTTTATGCTGCCCACACGCTGCTGCTGCACCGTCTCGTACTCGTAGTAGCTGCTCAGTGGACGAATGACACCGCCATTCGTGTGACCCTGGCCCGTCTGCCCCTGCGGATGCTGGTGATGCGATGAGGAGCTGCTCGAGTGCATGCTAATGTCCTGCGACCGGGCGCTGCGCTGCGAATGGTAATGCTGATGGCGGCGACTGCAGCGGTAAAGCAAAGAAAAGCATTTCAATATGATAAAATGAGCCCATAAAATAAATAAAAACAAATCTACAAAGATCCAAAGACAATGAAACCACCGAAACATTAAGTTAGTGCCAAATTTGGCAATTTAGTTCCTTAAATAATGTGCGTATGTGTGCATGGGTGTGCATGGGTGTGTCTGTGTGTTACCTTTCCGCCTCCACCTTAATCCGCTGACGTATCACCTGCTGTCGCATGCATTCGAGCGTTGACTCCGACAGCGTCTCTGCAGTTGCTTCTGCTTCATGTAGGCTTGTGCTGCAGGCCACAACCAGTGTTGGTAAGCGTGTTGTTAGATGATGTGTTGTAAGTGTGTGTGTGAGTGTTTGATGCACGGATTAGACAGTGAAATAGACAGAGAGAGAGAGAGCGAAAGATAGAGACAGACACAAGACAAGAAGACACAAAGATTGAGATTTGTTTGTTAATAAAGTTAGTCATGGCTTAATGGTTAATGTGTGTGTGGGGGTGAGATTAACATATACAAACATCTCTCACCTTATTTGATGAAGCTGTGGCTGCTGCTGCTGCTGCTGCAGTTGCTGTTGCTGCTGTTGATGCTGATGCAGATCCTCATAGTTGGCATAATGCTGATAGCGATGATTGAATATATCATTCTGATGTATGCCACCATTCGCTGCAGATCCTGCTATCCCTGCCCCGACACCACCTACACCCACACCATTTGGGGCTGGCAGTGGCGGCGGTGGCTGGTATGCTGGTGGCTTTCCATTCCTCTCCAAGGCGGCCAAAGCAGCGGCAGGTATCTGCTGTTGTTGCTGCTGTTGCTGCTGTAGCTGCTGCTGCTGTTGCTGCTGTGGCGACGAAGACACCACCGAGGAGGGCGGTGAGATGGCCACAGCACTGTACGTGTCCACGGGCACCACACCATCCTTGCGGTTCTTGCCAAAGCGGAACATGTGCCCAATGCCGCGCAGAATGCTCGGCTTCTTGGCCCGCGACGACTTGCTGCCGTGCTTGCCATCGTTCAGGGAGCTCTGGAAGGGTCCATTCCGCTGCGAGGCAAAGCCACCCTCGTGGTCGCCATCCTCCAGCAGCCATGTCTTGCGGGGCTCTACGAAAAGTAGTACAAAGATTTAGTTGAGACTCACGACGAACGTTTGGCCACTCACTGTTTGCGTCTGGCTCGTGGACCACAGCCGCCCGCAGACTGTCCTCCCGGCCACGACCGCGCGGGGCACGCAGCGCCTGATGGCCACGCGGCTCATCGGACATTTGCAGCTCCTGCACCATGGTCTGGAGCGACTCCAGCGACGAGGACTTCTTCATGCCCAACGAGGGTCCCAGATCCCCCAGCTGATCCCGGGCCTCGGCCTCGGCCGCTGCCAGCTGCTGCTGCATCGATTCGCGCTGCTCAATGCTCGATGCGGTCTTGGCGTGCCTGTAGCCCGCCAGCTGTGCATTGGCATTGGCAATGCGCGTCGTCAGCGACTCAATGGAGCCACCAAAGACGGCCGATTTGGTCAGCTGAATGCGACGCTCACGCTCCCGCTCCTCGCGCAGCTTCTTGTTGCGCTGATATGTGCCCGTCTCGCGGGCATCCAGCGCCGCATGATGCTTCTCCGAGATGCTGCGACGTCCCAGGGCGTCGCGCGAGAAGTGCTCCACGCCCGAGTTTGTCTCCAAACTGAGCTGAGACGAGTAGGTGGCATCGAAGGTGCTGCTGCTCGATGGTGTGCCCGGCACGGTGACTGCCACGGCCACTGGCACTGCGGCCTTTGTCTGCGCTGCGTTGACGCTGCTCGGAATGCAGTGTTGCCCCTCATGAGGACGCGCCGGCAGGGTTCTACAATTGCATAAAAGGAATCAGTCATTGGCTCTGAGGAGGAAGTTTTCTATCGTTGACTTACGGTGACATTGGCTCGGCATCGTCCTCGATGAGCAGCGCCGTATTGCCGCCATGTCCCGTGAGCAAATGCAGCTGTGCCGGCGACCAATTGTCATTGGTGGCCATGTAGTAGCTCTCGTTGCGCAGTGCCGCATTGCTGCAGATTGGTGTTGGGGGCAGGCGACGTTGCTGTTGCTGCTGCAGCTGCTGCGAATGCTGCGAATGCTGCGACTGCTGTGTGGGCTGCTGCTGCTGCTGTGACGTGTTTGTGGAGCAAATGCCACCGGTTAGACGATCCAAAACGGGATTGCTCCATCTACACAATAAAAACAGAATCATTAAAGGGTTTTCCTTGAAGGATCTCCCACTGCCATGTCTCACCTGTTCATTTCATTGCTGGCTGCGCCTCCTCCCACTCCCATTGCAACTCCATTGCCATTGCAGCGCTGTTCCCGCTTCTCGGGACTCAAATAAATGACTGTGGCACCCGAATTGTCGCTGGCATTGGAGCTGCTGTTGTTGTGACCGCCGCTGTTGCTGTTGCTGTTGCTGCCGCTGCCGCTGCTATTGCTATGGCTGTGATTGTGACTTTGGCTCTGTCCCTGGTCCAGTATGTCGCTGGAGCTGGCCGAGCGCTGTATCTTTCTGCCCACAAGCAGCGTTATGGTGCCCGGATGCTTGCCCGGCGTATTCACCATTGCACGCCGCAGCGTCTCCATGGCCTCGGCATTGTTCTGGCCGCGCAGCGACACTCCATTAACGCTCAGCAGCTGATCGTTCATCCGCAGACGTCCATCACGTGACGCAGCACCGCCATGGATGACGCTCTTCACGAATATGCCCAAATCTCCGTCATGTTTCATCAGTCCAGTGCCGCTGCCGCTGCCACTGCCACTGCCACTGCCGCTGCCACTCGAGCTGGAGGCATTCAGATTGGAGCATGTCTTGCCCTTAACGCTGACCCCCAGGCCAGCCTTCTCTGTGTCATGCACGGGAATGTGCAGCGTGAGCTCCTCGCGTGTATTCCAGCTGTTGCTGCTCGGCGGCAGGCTATCCTGTGGGGTGCAAAAAAACAGCAATCAGCATCGGAATGGGAATTGTAAATGGAATTTTCAACATACATTTGAGGCTGCCGACTCGCTGCCCGCATCGATGAAATGCTGAGATTCGTTGAGGAGCTGCTGCTGCTGCAGTTGCTGCTGTTGGAACAGCGAACGGGCGCTGCTTGATTTCTGCACCTGAATGGAAGCCGCAGGTGCCGCGGTAGCTGCCACAGAGACCAAAGCGGGAGCCTTTTCTGCCTGTGCCGCTGCCGCTGCCGCTGCCGCTGCTGCTGCTGCTGCTGCTGCCTGATCTGTCTGCTCGGCCAACTCCTGCTGACGCGAGACAACAATGCGGACAGTGGCGCCCGCCTGCATGCCCCTGAGTATGGCCACCACATCGGTTTGGGTCTTGCCCGTCATCGGTGTGCCATCGACCTCGAGCAGCCGATCGCCGGGCTTGAGGCGACCATCCTCGATGGCCGCACCGCGTGGCAGTATATTCTTGATGTAAATGGGACAGTGGCCGCCGGCGGGATTGTCGCGCGTCGTCACCGAGAAGCCCAGGCCGTTGGGTCCCTTCTTGAGTAGAATTTCGATTTTGCGGCCCAGCTTGCGGGTGTTGGCCACCTGCAGCGAGGTGCCCACGGGTGCGGCGTGTGGCTTGCGTGTGGGCGAAACGGTGGCCACTTCGACCATTTCGGCCACCTTGGAGTCGCGACGCTGCTGGCGCTGCTGCTGGTCGCCGCGCAGGACGCGCACCCGCAGCTCGGAGCATTCGAGGGCACGTCGAAGGTGCTCCTGGACCTGCGACTCGCTAAGGCCGATCAGCTTGATGCCGTTGATCTCGAGGATGCGATCCTCTCGCCGCAGTCGACCACGCTCGGCGCGACTGCCGGGCTCCACGTGCTGGACAAGGAGTCCGCCGCCGTGCTCCTTGTCCGGCATGGCCGTGAGGCCCAGCGGACTGCCGTACTCGTTGATGATCAGCAGCATCTCGCCGTCTTTCTCGCGTATCGACTCGTACGCCTGCCCCAGCGGCTCCTTCCGCTTGCTCTCCCGCGGCAGGGACTTGCTCGAGTAGGCGCTGTTCGGCAGCGACGACTGCAGCGAGGACTGGCCCGAGTTCAGCTCGGAACGATGGCTGGAATGGTGATTCTGATTCTGATTCTGATTTTGATGCTGGTTCTGATGCTGCAGCTTCTCGGCCGCCTCCATCCACTTGTAGCCGTTGCCATCGCCCAGGAACTGCATGGAGAGGCGCCCAGACCGAGCGAATGGCTGATGAGCGGCCGCTGGCGGCTGCTGCTGCTGCAGCAAGAGCTGCTCCTTGAGCTGCTGCTGGCTGGCGACATCATCCTCCTCCTCCCACTGCGGCGACAGCTGCCCACCGGCCTTGTCGATCAGCAGACGCTCGGGCGAGTCGCCGCCCGCGTAGTGTGGAGCCGCCGCCGACCAGCGCTTGTTGCTGCCCTCCGCCTTGAGCGAGGCCAGCAGATTGGGATCGCTGCTGCGGCGCACCATCAGGCCAACGCCCAGGCCGGCCATCGGGCCCGAGGTGGTGCTCGTCACCTCAATGTGGGGCGTGGACAGGTCCCGTGTGGGTGCCTCTGTGTTTGTGGGATCGCGAAAGATGTCCGGCGAGCCGGTGCCCACCGATGAGCTGCCCGAGGCACCGTCGCCGCCGCCCTGCGCCACACCCGGATCTGGTCCGGGATCCTCAAAGTGTGCGAGGATCTGTTCCCGATCATCGGCCACATCACGCACACAATCATCCGGATCCAGTATGCCCGATTGTGTCTGCAGATGCGTCACCGTCACCCAGGAGTCCGGCTGTAAAGCAAAAAAAAAAGCATTTTGGAATTAGTTTAGATTCGAGTTCTTGGACGAACAACTTCGGAGCAGCATCTGTAATGCTTTGGCTAGTAATCGAAGGGAATGAAAGGCAACCCATGGCATAGGCTCAGCTCAGAGCTGCTGCTTCGCTTCGCTTCGGTTCGTTTCGTTTCGTTTCAGCTGTTGTAATCCATTTCCCCATCAAGATCAGAGAGCAAGCAGCAGGTTGCCCAACATGGAGACAGAGACCATCTTGCATTCATTCCATTCATTCCATGCGTTTCCGCATCAACAGACTGAGATCTGTTCCAGCGGCCCACGCGGTTTCAACTTGAACTCCCTAAAGCGACACTCGAAACGGGACGACCTCCACGGCCCAAATTGCATTCTGCGGCACTGTGTTCCATTCCATTCCATTCGATACCGACGTGTGCGTGGTTCGTGTGCAGCTCGCTTTAGGCATTCCAATGGATGCCACAACAAATGCCAAATGCCGAATGCCGAATGCCGAAAAAAGCAGAAACAAAAACAGAAACAAAAACAATTGCATCATGCCATGGAAACCAGTCAAAAGCGTTGGTGGAGAACAGAGAGGCGGAGAGACTGGCGGTTCTGTGGGGGCTCTAGCTGTGGCTCTGGCTCTCTGGCAGCAAGCAGGGCAGCGGTAGAGCAGCGCTAGAGCAGCGGTAGAGCGTCTCCTCCTCCTCCTTCTCCCAACCACCCTGCGCTAAACTGAAGAACTGGAACGTCAACTTGGCGCAATCATTTGAAGCTATTTCTATTGTTTTTATTGTTTCGCGCTCTCTCTCTCTCTCTCTCTTTTTACTTTTAGTTTTTATTATTTTTCGCATTTCGCGTTTCTGTTTTAATTGTTCTTCTTTTGGGTTTTTGTTGGTCGGTTGCTGGTTGCTGGTTGCTGGTTGCTTGTTTTGTGGGTCAAAGAGCGCGCTCGAACATTCTATCGAGTGCAGTTTGCAAATGCCTGCGCTACAGTGAGTCAAAAAAGGGATCACATTTTGGTGATAGAATCAAGCAGAAACTGTTTTTTTTTTAGCCAAAATCAATCGAAAAAGCAGTGCAATTTCGTGTTCAAATATGAAAGAGAATTACTTCACAGAGTTTGCAAAAAAGAGAACAGAAAGTGTTACGAATAATTATAATTAAATATATTAATAAAATCGTACAATAAGCTTTCATTTAAAAAATAAATAAAGTCTCTAACGTGCAGCAGGGCTTATGAGCTTCTTGGGGTATATTTTGGTATGACTTTTCTTTAGATTCCCAAGACTTATCTCAAAGAAATTCCAGCCGTAATTCGAACTAATCTTAGCTGCACATCATCCTTGTTTCCATCTCAATCATCACTTATATTGTTCGTCGCTTTTTTTAATCACTTTCTTAGCCAATGGGTCCCACTGCCACTAACATCCGCGCGCCCTGATTATATTTCTTGTCACTAAAAATTATGCGCCAATGATCACACCGTAAGAGGACAGACAGATAGCCAGACAATCATCAAGTTCTCATATGTCAGACGAAAGATTGAAACAATAATGTGGGCGTGGCATGGCTAACAAGTGACACTGCCGCCGTCGCCCCTCCACTCAAGCGTGTGGGACGCGATGCGACGCGGCGCGACGGATCTGCAGCTGGAAATTATGATCTGATCATCATCATCAGATACATATTTGATATGGAGAGAGAGAGAGAGAGAGAGGAGGGGACGGGAGACATGTTATCTTTACCTTCACACACGAATAGGCCGACGGCGATGGTGGTCGCTTGGGCAGGGTGAGGGAGTAGGACTTGTGCAGGTGACCGTGCGGTATGCCCTCGTGCTTGGCCGCCACCTTGTAGGTGTGTCGCCAGCCAAAGAGTCCGCCCAATTTGTTGGCCAACGCCGGGCACTTGGGCGGAACGTCAAACATGCTTCAAGTCTCCAATGTCCACTGCCACTTGCACTCCGTTTCGATTCGATTTGCTTCGCTTCGATCTTTAGTTTATCTTTGGTTTACTTTTGCTCGTTTTTGTTTCGAATTTTGGTTTTAGCACACTTTTAATTGTTTATTTTTGTTGTTTCCTAATCGCTTTTGGTTAGTTTTTGTTATTGTTTTAGTTTTTGTCACAAATTCACGTTCGAGTCTCACAATTGGTTCGTTTCTACTGATGTCATGACGTTGTAGGATGAATGATTTGGGTTGCATTGAAAGAGGAACTTTTCACCGTTGGGTTTCCCTGCAAAGGTTTCGAACAAACTTCGTTATGAATCACTCACTCTCACTCTCTCTGTCTCTGTCTCTGTCTCTATCTTTCTTTTTAGTCACTCTTTTGTGTCGCTTATCGTTTGTTGTTGACTTTTTCTTATCGATGATGCAATGCCAAGAGAGTCGCCTATCAATTTCGACTGTTTACACCGCCCGCTCCGCTCTGCCCGCTCCAAGGCAAATGCAGTCGCACACTCGTTATCAACCATACGGAAATTTCTGCCACCAAGAACACGGCATTGGGATGTCAGTCAGCAAAAGCACTCGTATCAGCACATTATGTCTCTCAGTCTGTTTTTTCTCTTGCATTGTTTGAATTCCACTCGCAGTTGCTGCGGGGGACTAGATATCGAGATCATTTCTCTCTTCATCTTTTTTCCTTGAGCACAATAAGAAGAACCAAATCGTATTCTCATTGCTAAACTAAGGCATATTCGCCGTTCGCTGCAACAGCATTTTAACCGAATTTACTCGACACGCACAAGCGAATTTTGCCAAAGAGAACGCCCTAGAATAAGCAAGAACCATAGAAAACCAACAAAACTAGGAAGATAGTTAAAGAATCGCTGGGAAGAGTATGTGAAGTATATTCTGATTAAGTTCTCTTAAGCCCAATAGACAAGACAAGTGATTTCTTTAGCACAAATACTTGCAGCAACAAGTGAATGGTCTGATCTGTGGCGTCAAGCCCAGCGTAATCAACATGCAGAGCGATGTTTGGTGCATTATTTTCATAATCTCGGTGTGAATAGGAAACCGGTTCAGTGGTTCTAGAACCTTTAGCACTCCATAAGCCACAAACACACAAAGCAGCAACTGGACTTTTACATGCGATTTTTCCGGCTTGCTACACGTTCGTTGCATGGCCACAAAACTAAAATGTATGTACAATATTTTTATTGCATTTTTATTTTATTTTATTTTTTTTGTTTGCATAAAATTACATGAGATATGTCGGTGGCATGTGGCATATGTTGGCATGTACCCACCCTTACAGAAGGAGTGTGAATATGACTACGGGACATGCCCTCGCTTCCTTGGCTCGAGACGCACAAGCGAATGCTGCAGAAAGAGAATGCGCAAGAATGTTCCAAAATAAAGTAAACTATTACAAAAAAAAAACAAACAGAAAGCAATGTATAAACGAATAACTTTTGCTGTTGCAGCGTATAGCCACTTCGTTGTTGCCTCCAAAACTAACTCTCAAGTTGATTTTTATAAACTTAAAACGAAATATGCTTGATGGAGTAGAGTGTGCGAGTGGTACGAGTGTACACAGATGTAAATCAACTGACAAACGTACACAGAAAGGCAGTAACAGCAGCACAAGTGGCAGGCAGGCAGGCAGCCAGGCAGGCAACAAAGCTGAACTCATTTCGCACAAAAAGTTTTCATTTGATTATGCACCTGAGCGACGACGACGCCTGCCCGTGTGAGCAGTGCACAGAGCTACAGTGCCTGTAGATACACCTGTAATAAATACACAACGTTCAGGGGAGGTGGCTGGTGGAGTGGTTTCGAGGCAACAACAATAGGCAGACGATTTTGAAGCGCCATCAAACCGCTGAGGCATGACAACAAGCGACAGAGCAAGCTGTCAGCGAGGGAGCGAGGGAGAGAGCAAGCGGACGAGCATCGACCATCCCGAACGCCATCCAAATCCCCTCCAGAGCCACACAGACAGGCACTGACGGAGAGACGAAAAGCGAATGCGATTTATTTACTAGAAATTCAAGACTCTCCCACAAGATAGCAGCAACGAAAACAAAACGACAGGAGAAAATGTACACCCCAAAAAATGGTGCAAATAAAACAAAAATCAACAATTTTTAAGGGCAATTCAATATTTGTTTAAGTCGAAAATAACATTCACATATGGAACGAAGTTAATTTCTAGGTGGAAACAAGTGGATTTCAGGAATAATTGAATAAACATGGAAATGATAGAATCCGCACATTTTGAAGGTCAATCCAAAGACAAACGAGAGCGAAAAACGGTGTAGAGCGATGGAGAGAGAGTGGAAAAAAGTGCAACGGCAAGAGTCATTAATTAATTGATTGACTGATTCATTCATTCATTCATTCATTCATTCACTTATAACACTAATTAGTGGCGTATACAGGGAGGTTCAATGGAATTCCTTTGTGGCAATAATTGTGGAATATTTTCAATAATTTCAAATGATAAATTACAAATGCTCCCTTGCATTGAAATTACCCTACTGAAACCGTAACTAAATCTGAATCCAAGCAGCTTATCGCACGCATATTAATCGTATTTAATGTGAGGAGGAGCCAGCCCCAGCCCCAGCCCCAGCCTTTTTGGACAAAAATTAATTAAAAAACAGCCACACACAGAGACACACACTGCGGAGGAAAAGTGCTCGTAAATTAGCATAAAATGGGATCCCATATGGAAAGAGTTTTTCAAGAGACACGCCCCCCAAAACGATGCTGCCAGACCTAGGAGTACGAGTAGAAGGAGGAGATGTAGTTGGGAGATTCCTTTGTGGTGTGCCCTGGGAGCAGCTTTTCCCCGCTTTCCGACACACAGCGGAGGTGGGCCATAATTTGCAATCAGGCGGCCTTTAACAACCCACGAGATGCCGTGCGGTTCCTATAGGAGGGGAAGAGAGACAGAGAGAAAGGGAGCGAGGAATGCGACTAGTGCCACAAACGTGCCACAGAAATGTGCATACAGCATGCGCAGGGTGGCATGGTGGAAAGAAAGGC